ATGCTGTTTCTTGTTTTTCCTGACTTTGCAGAAGATAACTTTTATCTTAAACCACTATTAAAAGCTTTTGCATATCCTGTTGAAAATGCTATGACTTGGGCTTAGTTTCAGTTATTTATTCTTGCAAGAACAAAACATGAACTTACCCCAAAGCACTGCAGCAGCACCCTCTTATTGTCTTGGTTGTTTTCTTGGTTTAAATAGTCAGCTATAGATTTAAGTACACTTGGTCTAATGGTGGCGTTGACATGCCATGAAGGGCCTGTGATGTCCTCCATTGCCAAAATGATCACCACAGCTGTACTGACTGCTCGGTCCAGCACTGTAGTTACGGGTAGAGTCAGCAGATTCTGCATCTTGAAGCTCATACTCTCCACCCAACAACGCACTATCATCTGCATAAACATATTCTGAGTGACACAGGGCTGACAGTTAAAGATGTAGTTGTTTGGGCAGTTCCAGTTAAACAGTTTCATCGGATTTGTTGCCAAACAAAAATTAGGCTTCGTTGTGGTAGAAGAAGTGTTAGTGTTGTTAACTGGTGGCGTTGTATTGGCATTGTTGGGTGAAGTAGTGCCGTTGACAGGTGACGTGGTACTGTTGATGAGTGCCGTTGAGGTGCCATTCTTGAGTGGTGCTACGGTGGTACTGTTGTTTGGTACCTTGGTGCCATTGATTGGTGCCGTGGTGCCATTGGTTGATGCTGTGTAATTGGTGTATGTCTTACACATTGGGCTCACCCACGCTTTAGACAAATCCACAGACAACAACACGAGGAGAGCAGCATTTGGGCAAACAAGGGACACAAAATTGGCCTGGTCTTGCTCCCAACACTGAGTCAACTGTGAGGCATTTGGAGGAGCTGTGGTCCAGTTGGAGTATCGACACTGCTCAGCAGGTTTAAATGTAGTCTGGCCCCCGCCTCCAACAGAAAAAACACCTGACCTGTTACAGTATTTTATTAACCAGGAGTTGTCTTGATTAGCCAGCAGGTTCTGGAGAACTGTATTGTTAGAACAGACCTTGGAGCTGAAGTTTATTGGGTCAATCTCAGCACAGAGAGCAACCTCAGTCATGTCCACGATGATGGGCCGGGTCCAGTCAGGGTACCTGCATATCTAAGACACAAATGTAAATGAAAACATCAGAGACTAAGCACCAAATTTCATGCTCAATAATCCAGGTATAAAATCCAACAATGTCCAGAGTCAGGTCATCTGGACCGTTTCTTTTTTTTTTTTTTTTTTTTTTGCTGAGACGTTGCATCCGTCATCCAACAGACTTCTTCAATCTGAGGAGACACCAAACATTTGATTGGTGTCTCCTCAGATTGAAGAAGTCTGTTGGATGACGGATGCAACGTCTCAGAAAAAAAAAAGAAACGGTCCAGATGACCTGACTCTGGACATTGTTGGATCAGAGACTGTCAGGAGGATGGACATAAAATGCCTAAATGGATTTATCCTAAAATTATCATCCATCCATCCATCCTTTATTTTTACCCACTTCTTCCTTTCTGGGTCACAGGGGTCACTGGAGCCAATGTCCAGCAGTCTGTGTGAGAGGTGGGGGACACTCTGGACAGGTCTCCAGTCCATCACAGGGACACATAGAGACAAACAACCATTCACTCTCTCTCACACCTAGGGACAATTTAGAGTTACCAATCAGTCTAACATGCATGTTTTTGGTTTGTGGGAGGAAACTGGAGTACCTGGAGGAAACCCACGCATGCACGGAGAGAACATGCAAACTCCACCCAGAAAGGCCCCGGTTGAGATTTGATTCAGCGACTTTCTCGCTGAGAGGCTGCAGCTCTACAAACTGATCCACCCTGCTGCCCTTATCTTAAATCAAAGATATTTTTAAGAAACACCTGGAGAGTTGGTTCAGGAAGAATAACCTTCACATCAATGTAAAGAAGATGAAGGAGAAGGTCGTGGTCTTCAGAAGGAACAAACACACCTACACCCCCCAAACATAAGAGGATCTGTGGTGGAAGTGGTCTCCAGCTACAAGTACTTGGGTGTGCACCTGAACAACAACCTCAGCTGGAGCAACAACACCACCAGCCTGATGAAGAAAGCTCATCAGAGACTCTACTTCCTCAGACGGCTGAGATGAGCTGGTCTGGAAGCTCAGTCCTCACCTCCTTCTACAGGTGTGCAG